GGTAGAGTGCCATGGCATCACAGCTCACAGCAACCTCCAACTCCTGGGCTTAGGCAATTCTCTTGCCTCAGCCTCCCGAGTAACTGGGACTACAGGTGCCCGCCACAACGTCCAGCTATTTTTTTGTTGCAGTTTGGTAGGGGCCGCATTCGTACCTGCCCCTCGGTATATGGGGCCAGAGCCCCACCCACTGAGCCACAGGTGCCATCATTATCATTTATAATTGTGAACAAATGGAAATAATAAAACCACAGACTGGTTAACTTTATGGTACATCCCTAAGATAAATGTCAAAAAACTATTAAAATTAAAAGAATATTTATTTAGGGCAGTGCCTGTGGCTCAAAGGAGTAGGGCGCTGGCCCCATATGCTGGAGGTGGCAGGTTCAAACCCAGCCCCGGACCAAAAACTGGAAAAAAAAAAAAAGAAGAATATTTATTTATTTATTTTTTGAGACAGAGCCTCAAGCTGTCACCCTGGGTAGAGTGCTATGGCATCACAGCTCACAGCAACTTCTAGCTCTGGGGCTTAAGCAATTCTCTTGCCTCAGCCTCCCAAGTAGCTGGGACTACAGGCGCCAGCCACAATGCCCACCTATTTCTTTCTTTCTTTCTTTTTTTTTTTTTTTGGTTGTAGTTGTTGTTGTTTGGCAGGCCCAGGCTGGATTCGAACCTGTCAGCTTTGGTGCATGTGGCTGGCACCTTACCCGCTTGAGCTACAGGTGCTGAGCCTCTTTTAGAAATTTTTTTAAACTGACAAATAAATATTGCAAATATTTATCATATACGTGATGTTTTAAAATATGTATACATTGCAGAATAGCTAAATCAAGCTAATTAACACATGCATTACCTCACATATTTACTGTGTGAGAACTCTTGAAGTTTATTCTTAGCAATTTTCTTGTATTAATTTTAGTTAATACATTGTTATTAACGCTGGTCACCATGTTATACAATAGATCTCTTGAACTTATTCCTAACTAACTGAAATTTTGTATCTTTCTGCGACAGAGTCTCACTCTGTTGCCCAGGCTAGAGTGCTAAGGCATCAGCCCAGCTTGCAGCAACCTCCAACTCCTGGGCTGAAGCAAGCCTCCTGCCTCAGCCTCCTAAGTAGCTGGGACTACAGGTGCCCACTACAACACTTGGGAATTTTTCTTTCTTTCTTTTTTTTTTTTTTTTTTTTTTTTTTTTTTGCCGTTTTTGGCCGGGGCTGGATTTGAACTTACCACCTCCAGTATATGGGGCCGGCGCCCTACTCCTTTGAGCCATAGGCGCCATTCCTTTCTTTGCTTTTCTTTTTCTTTTTTTTTTGAGACAAAGTCTTACTGTGTCACTCTCAGTAGCGTGCCAAGGTGTCATAACTCACAGCAACCTCAAACTCTGGGACTTATGTGATTCTCTTGCCTCAGCCTCCCAAGTAGCTGGGACTATAAGTGCTCACCTCGATGCCCAGCTATGGGAATTTTTCTATTTTTAATAGACACAGGGTTTTGCTCTTGCTCAGGCTGGCTTCAAACTCCTTAGCTCAAGTGATCCCGGAGTGCTGGGATTACAGGTATGAGCCTCCACGCCCAGTCATACAATTCTTTCACTATAGTTACAGTTGTTAAGTTTATTTAAATATCTACCTGCATATTCATACAAAAATATAATTTACTTTTTACTTTACATTGTCCAATACACCTGTTCTTTTTTTCTCTTTAATCATTTTTTCATAAACATACATCGACCTACTTCAATCTCTGATAACTAATGCTGTGTTTCTCTGATGTCTAACTGGTGTGTTTCACCACTCATGCATTAAGAATCATTTTGGCTGTTTACCAATTTCTCCATTTCAATACTGTGAAAAATTCTGCAATGAATATTCCTGTTTGTTTTGTACATTTGTCTATTTCTAAGTGAATCTTCTGGATCAAAGGAAGTGTTTAGTAAGTTACCAACCCGCACTCCAAATGAGTTCAGGAGTTTCCAAATGTCTCAGAAGCTAAGCAAACTTGAGACTAAAAAAACAGGTCCCAACACAAACTCACCAGGATAGACCAAGAAGTCCCCCCCGAACTTGCCAGCGGCACTGAGGAAGAAGCCCCGCTCCCACAGGTCTCTGTAGACGCTGTAGCGCAGCTCATGAGCAGGCCGGCCAGCGTGGGGCCAGTCTTTGGACTGGACACGCCAGTCCAGTGGCCTAGCCTTGACAGGTCGAGGTCTGGCAGTGGCCAGCTGAACAAGTAGAGCAGATCTGGGTAAGGGGGTCACCCCATCTGAAGATTCTGGTTGGGAAGAGGAGGGGCCTAGGGGCGGGGCAGAGAAGAATTTGGTAAATCCAAGAGGTAAGAAGGTCTTACCACTCCTAGGGAGACCCAAGCCCCACACTTCCAGTTATAATTCCCAAAACATCTCTTCCCTCCTTCCCCTAATTCCTAGTCTCCAATTGCCATCCTCACCTGCTTCCTCCTGTTCTCCAGAAGTCTGGCCAGCACTGGTGTCCTTCTCTTTAGCAGCTTGACTTCCACCAGCCTCCTGGCTCCCACTGGTCCCCGAACCATGTTCTAGCTTCTGCTTCTTGGCAGCCTGGCCCTCTGTAATCTTCTCCAGCAGCTCCTGACGACGGGTCTCACGGGCCTCAGCTGCCAGGGCGCTCTGCTCCTGGAAACTCTGCTCTTGCTGGCGCTTGAAAGATGCCAAAGCCTGAGAAGTAAATTCAGCTGGAACCTCAGGACCCAAGCCCAGGCTCCCCAGAAAGCCAGTAACCCTGACTCCTTGTCCCCTCCCACCTGGGGCACGCGTCCCACCCAGACTTTCAGGCCCTGCTCCCACCCGGACCTAGGAGTTCGGCCTCGCCCGTCCTCTGCCGCGACCTTACCAGGCTGTGGTGGCCGGGGTCTGGGCGCGGGGCGCTAACCAGAGTCACAGCGCCGATCTCGGCCAGCAGCCGCGCCTCTTCGGGCAGCAGCAGCAACGGGAGGCCCAGGCGCGAGTTCTGGCGGGGCCCGCGGGGCAGAGCGCCCACCGTGCGGCCCCCCACCCCCAGGCGCTCCCGAAGAGCCTGCACCGCCTCGGCCCCCCACACCAGGGAGCGGCCGTTCGCCACCTCCACCACCAGCATCCTCCTGCGAGAGCCAGGGGTAAAGCGGTCACCGAGAAAGCCGCTCCGGCGGCCGGAGCATTCCCACCGCCCCGGAGGATCCCCGGAACCCCCGCCCTCGCAAACAAACCCCGCCCCCGGCCGATCTCTCCAGGCCCCTGGACGACACAAGACGGGGCCCCGCCCCTAGCCGAGCGACCAGGACCCCCACCACCACCATCGACGTCCCGCTCTGTGCCAACTCTGCCCTACCTGCCATCGCGCCTACGAGGCTCACAGAGAAACCCCTGCAAACGCGGCGCCTTGTACCCTTAAAAAGGTCCATTTTGGTGCTGCCCTGTTCCACATCAAACGTCTCCCTTCGGGTGCTCCCGACTTCTGACCGGAGCGCCTTTGGAGGCCAAGGCGCTGCCGAGGCCACACCCTCTTCAGAGAGCTCGGAGCTTGGCCCCTCCCCTTTGAACCACGGAGGTTCGGCGTTTGGGCTTTCGGGTTCCGAGTGACATTCCCACAGTATGAGGCCCCGCCCTTCCCGAGAGCCAGCCGTTCGGCGTTCGGACGTAGTCGGCTCCGGCAAACCCGCAGACCCGACCCCTCCCGAGCACAGGCGGTTCGGCATTCGGTCGTCGGCAGCGAAGGCGAAGCCGCAGCTCCGCCCCTCCCGAGCTCAGGTGGTCTGATGTTCCGGCATTCCTGGCTCGGCCGAATCTGCAGCCCCGCCCGCTCCCGACCACCCTGCAGTCTGTGGCCCCGCCCCTCCGGTCGCCAGCACTCCCGGGTTCGAACCTGTCCCACGACCGAACCCCAAGCTGGAGGCACTGCCCCCTGGGCACCTGCCGTCCGTTCCCCGCTTGGGCGAGCTCACCCCACGTGGGAGCGCTCCGTCAGCGTCCCTATCTCCCTTCAGAATGTCCCACGGTCCTCCGATTGAACCAGCCAGTGACTTCGTAAACACTAACTTGCAATCGAGGCGGAGCCACCTACTACGTAGCGCGCAACGCGCGGCTTCCTCCACCCCACCACAAGCTGACTCCCAACGTCACCTTCGTCATCCCGCCACCTCAGCGAGGCGGTAAGCGTGGGATCCGCCCCGCGGGGCCGTAGCACCGCCTCCCTGCGTCGCTTCGGCTCCTCAGCTAGGCAAGTTGAGGCGCGGTACCCGGCCCGCCCCTGCCCCGTCCTTCCTCCTTTAGGTTGGGCCACCTACACCCCGCCCTATGGTTAGTGTCCCTTTTTGTGTAGCCCAGTGTGTGGCCCCGCATCTCCCCGGAAAACAAGGCTCGGTATCTGGCAAAGCTGTAGGTTCTGTCATACTAGCGTCATTTATACCCGACTACATCCGAAAGAAACCGAAGCTCGTAGCCCCACCCACATCTGGCGGAGCTTATGGCCCCGCCCACATCCGAACAGTAACCTTAAGTACTTGACTATCTCAGAAGTGAGCCGCAGCCTGTGGCTCCGCCGCCAAACTGTGAGCCCCAGCTTCCCGACTGCGTCCGAAGGAACCCGAACGGAGGCCCCGCCTAACTCCGATCGCGCAACTCCAGACCCCGCCTCCCCTCTGATCCAGAGCAGTGCCCCTCTGGGCCCCAACCTCTGGCTCCTCCTCTTCCCCAGCCCGGAGCCCCGCCCCCCCACGTCCTTGCTGCCGGGAGCACCGGCTAGTTAGATTCCGGCCAGGGTCCAGGCGCCTACTAGTGCTCTCCGGTGGCCCGCTCCGGGGCTCCTTCACTGTCCACTCGGCCCGGAACCTGCCAGAGGCTGCGTCTCTGGCCCGATCCGCGCTGCCAGCCCGGCCCGAGGCAAAGCAGGCGGTGCGGGGGCGTGCTGAGTGGGGGAGGCGTGGCCCAAGCCGCGGCGGGCGGCAGGCTGGGAGTGTTCAGCCGTCTGCCGCCGGGCAGGCGGCTCAGGTGGGCCCGGGTAGTGGGGTGCGCCGGTGATAAGATGGGGTCAGTGGCGGGTCGTTGCGGATGGAGGGTTGATGGGGTGCGGGGACGGCTCCGGCAGCACGACCGGGCTCAGAGTGGCGTAACCGCCTGTGGCTTTGCCGGGGGCGGGATCGGACCCGAGCTGCGGTGCGCAGAACCTGGCTGAGGCGCGGGGGGGGGGGTGTCCTGAGAAGACGGAGTGGGGGTCTGCTCTCCAGGTTCCAAGGAAGAGAGGGGCTGGAGCCTGGAGGCCCGAGCTCCTCAGGGTCTTCCAGAAAAAGGATTGGGGGTTCAGATACCTGGTTCTCAAAAAGGGAGGAGCCAGGGAATTAAAGAGGGGATCTAGGTTCCTGGATCCTCGAAGGAGGAAGGGGCTCTTGAGAGGAAGGATCCAGGAGGGGGTTGTTTCTGGGCTGTCATAGATGTGTCTTGATATCTGCGTCCTCATTGGGAGTGGGGGGGAGTAGCTTTGATTTCTGCATTTGCAAAGCAGGGAGGGCTGGAAGGTCTAGTTTCCTGGGTTCTCAGAGGAGGAGGACTATGAATGATCCCTCTGTCTGGGAAGGAGAAAGGGGCTGGAAGCCTGTACTCCTGGGGGCTACAGAATCCTCAAACGCCGGCGGATTGCATTCCAGAGTACTGAAGAGGGACAATATAGGAGGTCCAGAGTCCCAGGTTCTCATTGTTCACCTCTGCCCCATCACTAGACCATGTCGCCTGAAGAATGGACGTATCTAGTGGTTCTTCTTATCTCCATCCCCATCGGCTTCCTCTTTAAGAAAGCTGGTGAGTCAGGTTCCCTCCCCAGTGGAAAATAAGGGGGTGGGGCACGTGGTTGGGGGACCCCTTGGAAGATTCCAGGCTTATGTTGTCCCTTCTGCCTGCAGGACCCGGGCTGAAGAGATGGGGGGCAGCAGCTGTGGGCCTGGGGCTCACCTTGTTCACCTGTGGCCCCCACACTTTGCATTCTCTGATCACCATCCTGGGGACCTGGGCCCTCATTCAGGCCCAGCCCTGGTGAGAATTTGGTGGAGGGAGGAGGAGGAGAGCAGGGGGAGAGGAAGAAGCAACCTGTTTCCTCTTCTAGTCTTTTTCAGCTTCTGCTTCAGTCTCTGGAAGCCTCTGGTTTATCAGTTTGTTTCTCTGTGTCATTCCTTCCTCCCCTGCCTTGTTTTACATCTTGTCCCTGGATGTTTGTCCCAGGCCTCTCTAACCATGTAATACCTGTCTGCTACTGGCCCTGCCACTATTATATTCACACATATTCCTCCCTCTCATTTTGAGCTCTGCATCTTGGAAATAAAAAGAAAAAAAAGTGGAGGATTGAAAGGTTTTTACCCTGAAACTTCTCTTAATCCCTTCTTATTCTTGTCTCTATTACTGTGTGTTTCCATGTGGCCATGTCTCTACTCCGATGTTTCAGTCATACTCATTCCATCCCTACCTCCCACTTTTCAGTTCTCTCTCTGCACCCCCCATTTCCTGTCACTGGAGGGGAGAAGGGGGGAGGATTTGTGGCCAGGCTTTGGGGAAAGGGGAGGCCAGGGCTGAAGCCTCTGCCCCAGCACAGTGGGCCTCTTGCCTTTACCCAGCTCCTGCCACGCCCTGGCTCTAGCCTGGACCTTCTCCTATCTCCTGTTCTTCCGAGCCCTCAGCCTGCTGGGCCTGCCCACTCCCACGCCCTTCACCAATGCTGTCCAGCTGCTGCTAACATTGAAGGTCAGACTTGGGGCTTACTGCTCCCCTCCAGCCTCCCTGTGGGTCAGTTAACCTCCCCTACTTCATCTCTTTCTCCCAGGCCCTTCCATGGGTGGAGAGAGGTGTAATTTTATCTGTCACACACCCTGGGGGTGGGGATAGGGTTCACTACTCACAGGCCCCTGGGCAGCCCTTCACTTCCCAGCTTTCTGGTGTGAAGAAATAGCTCAAGTAACAACAGGTGCCATTTGCTGATTGCATTGTACCAGAGCTGAGCTGGGTGCTCTACTGACAGGCTCTCCTTGAGCCTTTGTAGCCAGCCTTTCTACAAAGGAGGAAAACCAGCTCTGGGGAGAAGGTACTTGGTTACAGCCACAAAACTAGGATACTCACATCTGGCTCCTAATCACCTGGGAAGATGAGTGCAAACAGATTCCCAGGCCCCAACCCAGACCTTCAAAGTCCTGAAATCCTACTGTGTACTGAGCTCCAGTCCACTCCTCAGTGAATACAGCCATTGCATGAGGCAATGAGCCAGGATACCCCAGCACTCTAGTGTTCTCAGCTCAAAGATGGAGGGAGTGGGTCGGCTGATGGACAGGTCACAGAAAGAGCATTCTAGGATATAGGCATGTGTGGAAGGGAGTAGGCCAAGCTCCACAAGTTGCTCTAGCCATGTGGACTTTCTGCAGAGAGCAAAGGGCCCCAACCATGTGGGCCTTGTAGGCCACAGGGAGAAGTGTAAGGGACCAAGAGTTACTGAAAGGGAGATTTTTCTGAGTTTGTTGCCAAAAGAGGTAATGTGATCAGTTTTACATGTTTAAAAATATTCACTCTCGATACTGAGAGGATGACTGAAGCAAAACAGGGCAAGATGGAATGAGGTAGATCCCTTTACCAAGACCAGGTAACAAAACAGTGGCAACTTGATGTCAGGTAGGTAGGAGTTCAAAAGGAAAGGCCACATGTAGGATGATTCAAGGAGAGTTTATTTACCCCTAGTGTGAGCAGGATGTAGAGTAGCAAGAACCCCAGACCTCAGGAGCAGGGGAGCTGTTAACCAACCCTGGGTCCGGGGGAGGAGAAGAAGGGCAGACTGTGGAACCTGGAAGGAAAAAGGGCTGTGTAGAGCCACCCAGCTTGAAACAACCTATCATGGGTGATGGCCAGCCCAAGAGGCTTTCTACTGACTAAACATAGCCAGAAGCAGGAAGACAGAGACCTGCCAATGTAGGGGTAACCTTGGGTCTGCATGGGAAAAGGAGGAGGTGGGGAGGGGTTGGTGGATCACACTCAGTCCATGGGGCAGGTGGAAAGAAGGGAATAGGCTAAAGATATAGGGTTGGGGGCTCGGTGCCTGTGGCTCAAGTGGCTAAGGCGCCAGCCACATACACCTAAAGTGGCGGGTTTGAATCCAGCCCGGCCCGCCAAACAATAATGATGGCTGCAACCAAAAAATAGCCAGGCATTGTGGCGGGCACTTGTAGTCCTAGCTACTTGGGAGGCAGAGGCAGGAGACTCACTTGAGCCCAGGAGTTGGAGGTTGCTATGAGCTGTGAGGCCACGGCACTCTACCCAGGGCGACAGCTTGAGGTTCTGTCTCTAAAAAAAAAAGAAAGAAATAGAGTTGGGTTTGGGGATCCAGAAATGTTTTCATGTGAGCCATTAATTTGGCGCCTTTTCTTTGAGGGGAGAAACTAGAAGACCCACTCTGGGGAGCAAGTAATATTGGGTTCCATTTTGGATGTAATTTGCAGTGCCTGCACACATCCAAGTATAAATGGCAATAGACCTGGGGCTCAGGGAGAGGTGCCGACTAGGGATGGAGTTTGGGAGTTATCAGCAGGTGGACAGTTTCTAAAGCTAGGAGGTTGCACAGAAGAATAGAATGGGGAAGAAAAGATGAGAGCCCAAGCCTGAGCCCTGAAGGATGACACCCAGCTAGAGGTGTGACACACAGCCCCGAGCTGTGGGCACCAAGCATCTTGGTTGCCAAGGGTGGCAGCTTAAGGGAGATGGGTGTGCGAAAGAGCCCACGGTCTGACTAATCCTCTGGCCACCCCTTTCCTCCCAGCTGGTGAGTCTGGCCAGTGAAGTCCAAGACCTGCACCTGGCCCAGAGGAAAGAAATGGCCTTGGGCTTCAGCAAGGGGTCCACTCTGGGACTGCTGCCCGATGTCCCCTCCTTGATGGAGACATTCAGCTACAGCTACTGCTATGTAGGAATCATGACAGGTGAGTGAGACTGCCTCCCCTCCCCAGCTCTGCCTCTCCATGTCTCTGTTACCCTCTATCCCCACCTCCACCCTGAGTTTGGTGCCTGTTCTCTGTTCCTACCCTGCCCTGGACTCCCTCTGTCTGCTGCCCTGAAGGTGAGCATCTATGTCTAGGTCTGCACCTGACTTTCCTCCTGGACCCCAGCTCCTTCTGGGTAAAGGGGAACTGTTCTCAGCCAAAATGATGCTTTTCTCCTTGTAGCTTCTTGGGAACAAACATTAATAGAAGAAATAAAGGACCCAGACTGTGTGAACCTGATATTTTTGCTGTACAGAGAACAAATACAGCTTAGGATCCACTTTTAGTTTAAAATAATATATTTTTTAAGACAATTTATTATTTTTGGTTTTTTTGCATTTTTTGCCTGGGGCTGGGTTTGAACCCGCCACCTTTGGCATATGGGGCCAGCGCCCTACTCCTTTGAGCCACAGGCACCGCCCAAGACAATATTTTTAATTAACATTTACCTCATAGAAAATTTTTATTTTCTTCTTTTCTTTCTTTGTTTCTTGATTTTTTTTTTGAGATGGGATCTCACTGTGCTGTCCAGACTGCACCTCATGAGCTCAAGCAATCCTCTGTCCTCAGCCTCCCTCCTGAGTAGCTGGGACTACAGGCACACGCTACCATGCCCAGCTCAGAGTTTTCTTCTTTATAATGACTTTAGGGAGCTCTAATTCACATATTCAACCACTTAAAGCATAGAACTCACTGTTTTTTTAGTTTATCTACAGTGTTATGCAAACATCACCACTATGTATTTGTTTGCACAACAGTTTCAGCACCCCAAAAAGAAACCCCACACCCATAAATCCCTAAACATTCATGTATCTCAGGAAATCACTAATTGACTTTCTGTCTCTAGATTTCCCTGCTTTGGACATTTCTTGTAGATAGAATCATGCAACATGTGGTCTTTTGTGAACATATGGAGGTTTTACAGCCCCTGCCACACTTCAGGCCCTTCTCACCCACTCTCTTCCCCAGAAGTACCGCTCTACTGTGACTAGTTTGCATTGAGGTCACCTCCATGTCTTTTTTTTGAGACAGACTCTCTCACTTGGTCACTCATCAGTAGAGTGCTGTGGCATTATAGCTCACAGCAACCTCAAACTCTCGGGCTCAACCGATTCTCTTGCCTCAGCCTTCCAGGTAGCTGGGCCTATAGGCACCCACCACAATGACTGGCTATTTTTTGTTGCAGTTGTCATTGTTGTTTAGCTGGCCCAGGCCGGGTTCAAACCCACCACCCTCAGTGTGTGTGGCTGGCGCTGTAATCATTGTGCTACGGGTGCCAAGCCAACACGCTGCTACTTTTAGAGACAGAGTCTCAAATCTGTAAGCTCAGGTAATCCACCTGCCTTTGCCTCCCAGAGTGCTGGGATTACAGGCATGAGTAGGGTGACCAGACGTCCCGATTTTTAACAATTTGTCCCTCATCCTGTGGTGTTTTTAAAAAGTCCTGATTTTTGGAAAGAATGCAGGAACAGGTGGGAGAACAGTAAGGGAATATACGGTTTTCGGCTGCCATGTGGCTATTTTGCCAGGATATGAGTTTTATATTATTTTTGTTAATTTTATAATGTTAAACTGTAGTAATAACGAATAATTGTTGAGAAGTGATTATCTAGAACTGCTTATCAAAGTTTGCATTGTTGTCAGCCCCCCCCCCCACGCTTTACCAGTGTTAAAATCTGGTAACCTTAGGCATGAGCCACCGCACTCAGCCGTCACCTCCATGTCTGTCTGTGTGTCTTTTCTGTCTGTCCCCAGCTGTCTCAGTCTTCCTCATTCTCTTTGTCCTTCTCTGATTTTCTGTCTGACTTTCTTTACAAGTCCCTTTTCCTCCCCCATCTCTGTGGGTGTGCTTCCCCTTCCCACCCCTTTCTCCAGCATCGTACTCCTCTTCCTCTACCAGGCTTGAGCTCTGCCCACCTGCCCTGTCTGACCTCCTACCCTCCCCGCCCCCACAGGCCCATTCTTCCGCTACCGCACCTACCTGGACTGGCTGGAGCAGCCCTTCCCTGGGGCGGTGCCCAGCTTGCGGCCCCTGCTGCGGCGAGCCTGGCCGGCCCCACTCTTCGGCCTGCTGTTCCTGCTGTCTTCCCACCTCTTCCCTCTGGAGGCCGTGCGTGAGGACGCCTTCTACGCCCGCCCGCTGCCTGCCCGCCTATTCTACATGATCCCCGTCTTCTTCGCCTTCCGCATGCGCTTCTACGTGGCCTGGATTGCAGCTGAGTGCGGCTGCATTGCCGCTGGCTTCGGGGCTTACCCCGTGGCCGCCAAAGCCCGGGCCGGGGGCGGCCCCACCCTCCAATGCCCACCCCCCAGCAGGTCAGGCGGCGGGAGGGAGGCTTCCCAAGACCCAGCAGGCCCCACCACCAAGGGCTGGCTCTGCCCCTAGCAGGGAGGACCGCAGGGAACCTGGGGCAGGGCCACCACCTGTTGTTAGAAGAGCCTGCCTTCCCCTGTTGGTGGGGAAACAGAACCCCCCCATATCTACAGATTGCCCCTTGTTGCTAGTGCTTGTCACCCTTCAGTATGGTGAACTGCCCTCCATCCCTAGGAGAAGGAAGATGGTATCTTAGCAACCATGTGCTGCCCCTCTGTTGCTGTGGAAGTGTCACCCAAGAACCATGTTGTCCCTGGTTGCTCAGGATGCCATCCTTTGGTAGTGGTGGGTCACCTTCTGTTGCCAGGGACATACTTCCCTAGCAACCAAACCACTCCTCTTTGCTAAACAGTGGTTGGCCTTCTTGCCAGAGCATCTTGTTGTTGCTATGGAAAGCGTATGTCCTTATATAGCAGTCCTTTGTTTCTAAGGAAATAGCATCCCTGACTGTGCTGTTCTCCAGCAGATGGGACACCATTCCCGGCAATCACAGATAATTTCCTATTGCTAAGGAAGCTACACCTCCCCCTGGCAACTATGAATTGACCCTGTTGCCAGTGACCCTTTCCCCACTGCCTTACCTCTCCTACCTCCATGCACCTTCATTGCTAGGTAGTTCACACTGCTAGTCACTGTGGTCTCTACTGTTGCTGAGGATAGGGCCAAGAGCCCTAGCAACTGGGATGGACTGCCCCTCTGTTCCTGGCAACTGTGATCAGCCTTCCACTCAGGGCTGGGGCTAGGGGAGCAGTCCTTTGGTGTGAATTATGAACTATTCTTTGCTAGGGTTGTACCATCCCCTAGAAGTCACAAACTGCCGTTGTGGGGTAGTAACACCCCCATGTAAGTCTTATCACCACTGCCCTAGGAACCATGGGCTGACCTCGAACTACTCCAGGAATAAAAGTCAAAAAAAGTCAACCAGGAATTGAAGGCTGTTCTAAATCTAGTTGGCCCCCACTCCTAGAGGATGGATTCCCTCCTGTCCTCAGAGGCTACTCAGTGGGCCAACTACATTCTTGGGCACCTGTGACCTGGGAGCCACTATATTGCTGGGGGTGACACTTCTCCAACAATCACTGGAACTAGGAAGAAAGGCCCTTTCTGGAACCCTTTGTAAACATTCTAGGCCTTATTGCTAAGGAATGCCTTAGAACATCTCCCTAGCAGCCGTGAACCACCTTGTTGTTAGGGCTGATACTTCCCTAGCAACCTCTGTGTCTGACAGTTATGAAAGGACTGCTTGGAGGCTTCTCTGAATAGTCTATGAGTTCAGTTGCTAAAGGACTCAGAGTTTAACAAGCATTGCCCCTTAAGGCTTTTTGTAGCTATGGCAGGCCCCATTACCAGGAGAAAGAGAACTCCACTATTGGTGAAGTGTGCCCCCCAACTCCCCCACTTTGCTCCCCCAAGGGCTCCCTCGGGTTACCCTCCCCTGTTGGCCCTAGCAAGTTAGCAAGGGAGAGGGCCGCTGCCTGGCCAGAATCCCCTCCTTAGCATACGGGGCTGGGACAGTAGCAGGTGTGGGGACAGGGCCGGGCTGAGCTGCATGTCTGTCCCCCACCCTCATCCTCCAACCCCCCAGTCTGGAGAAGGCTGCTTCCTTGGAGTACGACTATGAGACCATCCGCAACATCGACTGCTATGGCACAGACTTCTGCGTGCGGGTGCGGGATGGCATGCGGTACTGGAACATGACGGTGCAATGGTGGCTGGCACATTATATCTACAAGAGCGCACCTTTCCGCTCCTATGTTTTAAGGTGAGTGCACCCTGCCCCACCTTGGAGGACATCCCAGAACTACAACTCCCAGCAGCCCTGGGACAGTCTGCAGCTTTCCAGGCTGGGCCCCTGCCACTGAGACTCATGGAAATTGTAGTCTATTGAGACCTGCCCCTAATTAATTACATAGGGATAAACTGTTTCCCCGCACTTGGCCTCGGTTTTTACTTCTATAAAGTTAGTCTCATTCGACAGAAGCAGTGTACCAACTCCAATGGACACAGTAGCCATATTTTCTGGAATCTTAGCCCTGTAGATTAATTGAGAAGCCTTGTGGAGTTATTTTACCTCTTGGTTTTTTTCAACTGCTAAATGGAGATAATGCTGTTTATTACCTGTTTCATAGGACAATGGGAGGACTAAAAAAGATAAAGTGTTAAAGTGCTTAATGTGAGGCCTGGTAGGTGAGTGCTTGCTATATATTTGCTTTTTTTTTTTTTGAGATAGACTCTCACCCTCTCACCCAGACTAGAGCACCCTGGCCTCAGTAGCTCACAGCAACCTCAAACTCCTGGGCTTATCCAATCCTCTTGCCTCAGCCTCCTGAGTAGCTGGAACTACAGGCACCCACCACAATGCCCAGCTAGTTTTTCTATTTTAGTAAAGATGGGGTAACACTCTTGTTCAAGCTTTTCTCCAAATCCTGAGGTCAAGCGGATCCTCTTGCCTTATCCTCCCAGAGTGCTGGGATTACAAGTGGGAGTCACTGCACCTGGCCTATATATTTGCTTTGATAGTTTTTTATTCTTATTTCTTGACTAGAGCCTTAAGAAGTAGGCTGTTGAAGGCGAGGAGACTTGAGCCTCAGAGAGGTTAGGTAACACTGAGTGCCATTCAGTCTTTCCCAAGCCAACAGATAAAGTCAGGGTATGCCATAGACATCCTCCCAATGAAGAGTTTATGGTGGCAGCTCTGGAACTAGACTTACCTGGGTTCGGGATCCAATTTTGATGTAAAGATCCACTCTGGTCTTGCGTGCAGAATGGAACAGAGGTGAGAGGAGGCAAACAGGAGGTAAAGCAGGGAGACAAATTCAGAGACTTTTGAGGCTGTCCAAGTGGGAGATGATGGAGTCTTGCAGTAAGGAACAGTGGCCCAGAAGTAGATAAATTTGAAAGGAAGAGTCAGGACTTGATGTGGACTGCATGTGGAGCAGGAGAAATAGAGGAAATGAAATATGATTCCCGGGTCATGGGTGTTGGTGACCAAGGGCATGGGAGAGCCATCTCTTGAGAAGGGGAAGACCCAGCAAGAGTAAGTTTTGAGAGTGGTTAAGATGAGAAAGTGCTTGGGCTTAGCTTCATGCAAAGGTAACTATTAGGGTTTTTGGATAGGCAGTTGTGTGGCTTCTGGCACTCACGGGAGAGGTTGGTGTTAGATGTGGACACTTAGTGGCCTTCAGTATAGATGATACTTTACAGAGGGGCAGGGGCACGTCAAAGCCCAGTGCACTCAAATGCATAGACTAGGGTTTCTCCACTGAGGGCATTTCTGTGGCAATGCCTGAAGACTTTTTAAAGTTTTTGGAGTGGGTGGTGCCTGTGGCTCAGTGGGTAGGGTGCTGGCCCCATGTACTGAGCGTGGCGGGTTCGAACCCGGCCCTGGCCAAACTGCAACAAAAATAAAAATAGATGGGCATTGTGGCAGATGCCTATAGTCCCCGCTACTCAGGAGGCTGTGAGCTGTGACGCTACAGCACTCTATCAAGGGCGATAAAGTGAGACTCTGTCTCTAAAAAAATAAATAAAGATTTTTGGAGACAGAGTCTTGCTCTGGCACCCAGGCTAGAGTGCCATGGTGTCAGCCTAGCTCACAGCAACCTCACATTCTTGAGCCCAAGCGACCCTCCTGCCTCAGCCTCCTGAATCATAGCCGAGACTATAGGTGTCCACCACAATGCCCAGCTGTTTTTTCTATTTTTACTAGAGACAGGGTCTTGGTCTTGTTCAGGCTGATCTCTAACTCCTGAGCTCAGGTGATCTGTCCACCTTGGCCTTCCAGAATGTTGGAATTACAGTCATGAGCCACTACACCCAGCCAAGAAATTTGTATTTCTAACAAGTTCTCAGGTGATGCTTATGCTGGACCTGGATCATACTTTCAGAACCACAGGGCTAAGAAATTGGACCTCTTGGTTCTGAGGGAGGAAGTACAATGGAACATAAGATGTTAGATTTTTCTTTAATTGGTCAAATAGACTATCATTTTATTAGATAATTTAATGAGATTAGAGTTTTTTTTTTGCAGTTTTTGGAAGGGGCTGGGTTTGAACTTGCAACCTCTGACATATGGGCCTGGTGCCCTACTCTTTTGAGCCACACCTGCCACCCAAGATGTTAGATCTTTTTTTTTTTTTTTTTTTTTAGAGACAGAGTCTTACTTTATTGCCTTTGGTAGTAGAGTGCTGTAGCATCACAGCTCACAGCAACCTCCAACTCTTGGGCTTAGGCGATTCTCTTGCCTCAGCTTCCCAAGTAGCTGGGACTACAATGCCCGGCTATTTTTTGTTACAATTTGGCCGGGGCCGGGTTTGAACCCGCCACCCTCGGCATATGGGGCCGGTGCCCTACTTGCTGAGCCACAGGTGCCATCCAAGGTGTTAGATCTTTAAAGGAGAAGGCCTTGGTTAAGGTTGCAGGGGCCTCGATAGGAGATTGAAGCTGCTGCATCCCTGAAGGAAACAGAGGCCTAATACCTCCTTCACTTTCTGGAGCTACAAAAGGGGACCCATGCATCTGAGGAAGGAGGGGCTGGGGACTCAGACCCCTGAATTGAGAAAGGAGGAATTGGGGGCCCAGACCCCTGAGTCTGAGGAAGGAGGCGCTGGGGACCCAGACCTCTGATTGAGGAAGGAGGTGCTGGGGATCTGGACCCCTAGATTGAGGGAGGAGGAATTGGGGGCCTAGACTCCTGGGTCTGAGGGAGGAGAAGCTGCAGTCCTAGACCCCTGGGTTTGAGGTGGAGAAATTAGGGGCCTAAGATCCCTGGGGCTGGGGACAGTGGAGACTGGGAACCTAGACTCCTGGGTCCTGATTCCCAGCCCCTCCCCCAGGAGCGCCTGGACCATGCTACTGAGCGCCTACTGGCACGGTCTCCACCCGGGCTACTACCTGAGCTTCCTGACCATCCCGCTGTGCCTGGCTGCTGAGGGCCGGCTAGAATCAGCCCTGCGGGGCCAGCTGAGCCCTGGGGGCCAGAAGGCCTGAGACTGGGCACACTGGTTCCTGAAGATGCGTGCCTATGACTACATGTGCATGGGCTTTGTGCTCCTGTCCCTGGGCGACACTCTTCGGTATTGGGCCTCCATCTACTTCTGCATCCACATCCTGGCTCTGGTAGCCCTGGGGCTAGGGCTGGCTTTGGGCGGGGGCAGCCCCAGCCGGAGGAAGACAGCATCCCAGGCCACCAGCCTTGCCCCAGAAAAGCTCCGGGAGGAATAAGCAGCCACAGCACTCCCTCTGCCAGCTTTTCCAGCCACCAAGCTTTTGCCTGTGAATTCTGTGAACCAGGCTGCTGTCTTCTTTCCCAGAAGGAGTTTTTAATCTGGCTAGGGCCCTGGAGAGGATTCCCTCAGCTAACTACTCTGCCTTCAACTGGAGCCTAGAAGGGGTACCAGCTCCCCAAACTTCTTCTGCCTGCTGGCCCTGTGCCCTGGGACCTTCAGTGGCCACTTTCCCTCCCATAAAATCAAGACACTATCCAGACAGGAGTCTTGCTTTGTCCTTGTTCCAGCTTCAGGATATCAAGAAAGTGCTGGGCTTCCCCCAAACAGCAGGGACTGATGGGTGATGTGGTTTCTTGGGCAAATTCTCTTTCTTTGAATCCAGTCCAGAGTAGATCTGGAGCCTCTGGCCGGGCCAGATTCTAGGAGTAGGGAATCTCTTTCTTGTGTATTTCACTCTACTTTTAAATCATCAAACCAGTATTTCAGATGTGGAAGGGAACATAACCTTCCCATTTCATAAAGGGGAAACTGAGGCGCAGGTGAGCAGGCCTGGAGACTGCCGTTCTGCAGCTCCCATCTAAGCCACCTCAGGCGCCAATGCACCTGTCACCTCTATCATCCCTTGGCCTAAGACAGGTCAGAATGTGTAAATCTTTCCCAATAAAGTGTTGCACAAAGACACCCGTCTGTGTATCTCTGGGTGACAAGTGGATGGGAGGCACTTACGCCACTGGTCCCACTGGGATGTGCTCCTGCCTAGCCCAGGAGCCAAATGGGCTCAGGACACAAACTGGACTTCAGTTCCCAGGACACCTTTCCAGGCAGTGGCCCAGAGAGTTTATGGGAAGTGTACCTCATAATCTCTGCGTGCCAGCTGGTGACCAGGCACAGACCTGCCCTAGGCCCCTCCCTTACCTGGGGCAGGCCCCGCCTAGATGGCCACCAGAAGCACAGCGGCGCCTGAGGCCATGGAAGAAAGCCCCACTTGGGAAGCCCAGTACTCCTCTGGGGGGTGGCCAGCCCCCCAGGAGGCCAGAAGAGGTTGAGGGAATGGGGATTCAGATCCACCCAAACTTCAGGCTGTGTGGAAGTCCTGGAGAGGAGAGGGGAGGCCTGGGGCTGAGTGGGGCAGGGTTTTGCTTGCTGAGTTTAAGGAAGTTTGGAGGGTGGGACATCTGATCCTGAGAAGGAGCGGGGAGTGGCTGGGGCCTGGGTGTCTCGGGAATGAATGTCTTCAGTTTCCTAAATGCCTGAGCAAGACGGAAAAGGAAGTTGAACCCTGGACTCTCTGCCCTGGGGAGGGGTCTGGTGGGGTTCACATTTGGGTCCTTGGGGAGGGGGTCTAGGAGTGTGGACTCCTGAGTCCAGGGGAAGTAGAGGCTGGGTCTTTTTTAACTCCTGGGTCTGACAGAAGCGGGGCTGGAGGGCAAGACTCCTGGTTTGGGGGAGGAGGGCTTGCCGGCCAGACTGCTGGGTGTCCCCAGCCCTCTACCTTCCTGCCCAGGCCCAGCACTGTCCTCCATTCTCAATGAGCTCCCCAGTGCAGCTACCCTTCGGTACCGGGGCCCTGGGGTGCTGCCTTGGGGGGCCCTGGAGGAGGAGCAGGAGGAGGATGAAGCAAAGAGTATGAAGGCCTTCACAGGAGCTGCCCCCAAAGAGCTGCAGGAACCTCGCTGTTCCAGGGAACTGCCCTGGCCCATGCAAGCCAGGCGGGTGCACAGGTAAGGACACAGTCTCCCTTCAGCCCTTCCCTGGGCCATGTCCCCCAGGCCTGGGCCTCTCTTCTCTGCCTTGTCCCTGGTTCTCTCTCCTCTCAGAGCTGCCTCTCTTGGGTTTCCCCCTGTCTTTGTCTCCACTTGGAGTGCCAAGTGAGCCCTGCCTTTCTATAGCTCTGGTATTCTCTCCTCTCTCTCCTGAATTTGCTGTCTCCATGTCTCTCTTCTCCCTCCAAGCCTGGCTTTGCCTCCATGTGTATTTGAAATCTGTTGTTATTTTTTCCTTTTTGCTTTATGCCTTTATCTCTGTCTTCCCCATCAAAGCCTATCTCTCTTTTACTTTCTTGCCTTCTCCCTATACATACCAAGGGGCCCAGGGAAAAATGAAAATGCAGGTGGCCTTTTTCAAAACTGATTATGCATGTCAAGATGGCAACAGCAGAGCCTTCATCTCAGTGCCAGGCCCTTCTGAGAGAGGGGCCCTGGGTGGCTGCTTTGGCCACATGTCTGGATTCAACCAACCATGGATCAAAAATATTAGGACGTGGTTCGTGCCAGTAATCCCAGCACTCTGGGAGGCTGAGGTGGGAGGATGTCTTGAGCTCAGGAGTTTGAGACCAGTCTGAGCAAGAGTGAGACTCTGTCTCTACTAAAAATAGAAAAATTAACCAGGCTTTGTGGCAGGCACTGGTAGTCCCAGCTACTGGGAGGCAAGAGGATCACTTAAGCTCAAGAGTTTGAGATTGCTGGGTGGCTCCTGTGGCTCAAAAGGGTAGGGCGCCGATCCCATATACCAGAGGTGGAGGGTTCAAACCCAGCCCTAGCCAAAAAAAAAAAAAACCTTGGGCAGCACCTGTGGCTCAGTGAGTAAGGCGCCGGTCCCATATACCGAGGGTGCTAGGTTCAAACCCGGCCCCGGCCAAACTGCAACAACAAAAAATAGCTGGGAGTGTGATAGGTGCCTGCAGTCCCACCTACTCGGGAGGCTGAGGCAAGAGAATCACCTGAGCCCAGGAGGTTGCTGTGAGCTGTGTGATGCCATGGCACTCCACCAAGAGCGATAAAGTGAGACTCTGTCTCAAAAAAAAAAAAAAGAAATTTGAGACCAACCTGAGCAAGAGCAAGACCCTGTCTTTCCTGAAAATGGAAAAATAAG